CCCGAGGATGCTTGTCTATCTTCATTCTGCTGGTTGATATAATCATTTATAAATTTGTAGTGAACTAGATATGCACACACAAAAAAAAGATATACGAGATACATCATGTTCCTGTTTGCAAAGCCTGCCAAGAACAGATCCTAGGCCTAAGACATACTAGCTCTTACAGGACTTTGCTGCGAACGGTAGCAACAAAATTCTTAGCAATTGAACAGCAATAAGCACCACATATTCACTTCATCAAGAGATAAGCACGAAAAATCATCCTCAACAAAGAACTAATTTGCTGGAAAACACATGTCTTACTTACTGAACATCCAGATGGACCACATCCCCATGAGCCTCCAAATGTCGGGCTCGCTGGAGGGGAAGACGAGGTTGAAGGAAAGGGCGCCGCCGGCAAGCATGGAGGCGTACGCCTGGACCTCAAAGATGGTGTACAGGGTGGATCCGGGTACCGCCGGGTTCTTGCTTTTGGTGGACGCCCTCGGCGCAAACGTCGCCGCGGTCTTCTGAACTGCCTGCTCGGGGAGGACGCTAACCGTATCAGATAAAGCTTGATAATTTCTCTCCGCGCAACTGCAAATGGGTTCAGGGCTTTAGCAATCCCAACCTTCTTGAGCTCTTTCTCGATCTTAGGATTGACGACGGGCTGCTGCTTCTCCGCCGCCGGCTCGGCCGAGGCGCCGCGCTGGCCGCCGGCGCCTGCCTCCCCTTCCGTTACTGCGCCGGCGACGGCGCCGTCAGAGCCATCCGAGCCTGCGCGCGCTAAACTGGGCTGCGGCCTCCTGCTCCTGCTCCGGCCCGCGCTTGTACAGAGGGAGGCCGCCGGCAACCGCAGCGCGGCTGCCACCGACGGGAACGCGCAGCCGCCGCTGAGCGGGTTGTTTAGCAGGGGATTCATCGTTGTTGAGGTTCTTTTTTTCGGGGGGGAGGAGGGCCGGCGGGGTGGCGAAGGGATGGGGAACGGAAGGTCCTCCCGCCTTCACCTTCTGGCCGTGGTCACCCCACGAACACCGTGGTATTTCCACCCGTTGGCTTCATACTTTCCACAACGGTTTTTAGGCCAAAATTTTATAATTATTTTTGATTTTCAATAAATAAAGCACTCCCTCCGATTTAAGTTAATTGACGCGGCTATAGTACAACTTTGTACAAAAGTTGTGCTAGAGCTGCATCATTTAATTTGGATCGTGATGCTATCTCGCGGATAGGCCTGCAGGCGATGGAGGCACGGTCAATTTCGGCCTGGTATTTTTGTCATTTATAAAATCAAATGCCGTGTCAAACTTCAATTCTTTGGGCAATATCCTATTCAGGAACTTTAAAACGATGTGTGTCTACATCTTTCAGAATTTGTTCACCAACTATTAGGATTTCTTCATTTCTTCATTTCTTCATTTCCTCGTATGAATTTCATGACTTTTCAACTTCAGAAAAGAATGAAAGTTCCAAATTTTCAAAAAAAATTGTATTCTTGAAAATTCAAACTTTTAGAATACTCAACTTTCAAGAACTTTCAATAATTGCAAAACCACATTAGTTCTGATAATTGTATCACGCGATGCTATCTCGCGGACAGCCATGCAGCACGGCAGGCATAGTCAATTTCGGCCAGGTGATTTTATCGTTTATAAAGTCCAATGTCATCTCAAACTTCAACTTTTTGGGGAAATATCCTTTTCAGCAACTTTCAAAATGTGTGTCGACATATTTCAAAAAACGCGTGCCGCAAAATTTAGAATCTTATACTTTCTTAATTTTGTTGTATGAATTTCGGGATTCTTTTAAAAAAAATTAAAGTTCAAAATTTTCAAAAAATGTACTCTCAAAAACCCAAAATTTAAGAATACTCAACTTTCAAGTCGTTCAGATATTTTGAATTCTAAAATATTTGAACTTCCAAAATTTGAAACTTATACAAAAAAAAGAAACAAAGGATGAAAAGGAAAAAAGTGCCACATGGGTGGGCCTAGATTTTGGGTATGTTGTTTTACTTGGTCCAAATCTCCAAATTATGTCACCTATAAGTACCCCCAAAAATGTCTCCTCTGTGTGTGTGGGGAGGACGTGGCCAGAGATCGTATCCGCTGTCTGTGTATTGCGTGATGTGGTTAGCTGATAAAGATAGGGCATAAATGATGTGTCGTATTCGGCTAGAGATTCCTGATCTTCACGAATTTGAGGTGGAGGGAACCAATAACACGAGGAAAAACAAAGAACATGAAGTGTAAAAAGATAACTAGTGAAGCCTTTGCGGCAATACACAAATTTTGCAAGAAGTGTCTTAGATATACAGGATCCGAATCCCATAACAACAACACTTGCGACACTTGATCAGCCAAACGGTCGAAGGTGATCCCAAATCCAAAAGAAGAGCTAGTAGTTCCTCTCCAATCCTAGGACATGGAGGTCTTGTACGTCACCATCAATGGTGATCTTGGATACATGTCTGTAAGGAGGCCTTGGACACCTCATAATCAATGATAAGATGTAACACCCTCGATGCGACTATATCTCCTACGTGTCGAGGCACGACTTAGAGGCATAATCGCATTGAAGGCATATGTCGCAAGTTAGGCAATTTTCACAACATCCCATGTAATATAGATAATAAAAGGGGAGATAACATAGTTGGCTTACACTCGCCATGTCAATCAAATACATAAATAACATTACATCATCCAAACACTCATGGCCCGACTACGACGCCAAAATAAAAGAGAACCCAACATGCGACACGGTCCCGATCACCCCCAACTGGGCACCACTACTGATCATCAGGAAAGGAAACATAATAACGTTGAGAGTCTTCGTCGAACTCCCACTTGAGCTCAAGCGCGTCTCCTGGAGCGGAATCATCAGGCCCTGCATCTGGTGTAATAGTAATCTGTGAGCCACATGGACTCAGCAATCTCGCACCCTCGCGATCAAGACTATTTAAACTTATAGGTAAGGCAAGGTAAATATATGGAGCTGTAGCAAGCGACTAGCAAATATAGTGGCTACCCTGTTCGCAAAAGAGAGCGAGAAGAGGAGGCAAAGCACGAGCGAAAATCTAGAGAACAACCTGCGCAAACATTACTCCAACACCGTGTCCACTTCCCGGACTTTGCCGAGAAGAGGCCATCACGGTAACACACTCAGTTGATTCATTTTAATTAAGTTAAGGTTCAAGTTATCTACAACCGGACATTAACAAATTCTCATCTGCCCATAACCGTGGGCACGGCTTTCGAAAGTTCAAATTCCTGCAGGGAAGTCCCAACTTAGCCCATGACAAGCTCTCACGGTCAACGAAGGAATAGACCTCCTCCCGGGACGTTCCGATCAGACTCGGTATCTCGGTTCTTCAAGACACTTCGACAGGTTAAAACAAGACCAGCAACACCGCCCGAATGTGCCGACAAATCCCGATAGGAGCTGCACATATCTCGTTCTCAGGGCACAATCGGATAAGCAATCCGTACAACTAAAACCAGCCCTCGAGCTTCCCCGAGGTGGCGCTGCAAGGGGCTCTAGGTTGGACCAACACTCAGAGTAGCACTGGCCCGGGTGGGTTTAAATAAGATGACCCTCGGGCTCCGGAAACCCAAGGGAAAAAGAGGCTAGGTGGCAAATGGTAAAACCAAGGTTGGGCATTGCTGGAAAAGCTTTAATCAAGGCGAACTATCAAGGGGTTCCCATTATAACCCAACCGCGTAAGGAACGCAAAATCCGGGAACATAACACCGATATGACGGAAACTAGGGCGGCAAGAGTGAAACAAAACACTAGGCGAGAGGCCAAGCCTTCCACCCTTTACCAAGTATATAGATGCATTAGGATAACATGGCAATATAATGATATCCCAACAATTAAAATAATGTTCCAACAAGGAACGGTCTTCAATCTTCACCTGCAACTAGCAACGCTATAAGAGGGGCTGAGCAAAGCGGAAACGTAGCCAATCAACAGTTTGCTAGGACATGGTGGGTTAGAGATTTGGCATGGCAATTTGGGAGGCATGATAAGCAAGTGGTAGGCATCGTAGCATAGGCATAGCAAAAGAGCGAGCATCTAGCAAAGCAAAGATAGTAGTGATTTCGAGGGTATGATTATCTTGCCTCCAAAGTTGTCAGAGTTGACTGGATCCTCGAAAGCAAACTCAGCGGGCTCCTTGTTAGCGAACTCGTCTCCCGGCTCTACCCAAACAAGACAAACAAGCAATAAGGACACAAATCAACCACGTGCAAGGATCAAACAAGATGATGCCAAGATGATATGCTATGCGAGATGCGATGCGGGATGCATATGCAAGATTTGACAAGGAATGCATGAACCTGGCCTCAACTTGGGAATCCAAGCGTGCCACTGGAAAGATGAGATGAAAACGCTTGAAAAGGATATAAAGAACGCCGGAATCAGACTTATGGTTTGGGAATGGCAAGCGATTCAAATATGGCACCGGTCTGCGATTTACAACAAGTAGCCATCTAAATGCAACGAAAAGAACATGCTACAGCACCCAAACATGACAACAAAATACATGGCAGGGATGCATTCAAGATGCTTAACAAAAGTATAGCACTGAGCTACGGCCAATTCATCCAATAACAGGTTCAAACAGGCATGGCAAAAATGCATATGGCAAACAGATTTCAGACTTAGTGAAATTAACACTTGTCTGGAATTTCAGATCAGGTAGCATTCTTCGGAGCAACAAAACTACATGCTATAGGACCTGAACATAGCAAAGTAAATCATGGCATGGAGCTACTCAAAGAGCTTAACAAAAGTCCCTTAGTGACCTTGAGCCAAAAGGGATCAGAAAATACAATTACAAGCATGTGAACCTAGCAAAAACATAATCAGTTTTCAGACTTAGTGAAAAACTGGCACATGCTGAAACATAACTCAAGTAGGCATGTTTACGAGCTCGATGCACTCACTACGGAGCAAGTAATTAAAAGCTAAGCATACATCTATCAAGAACACACAAAATTCAAGCTAGACATGGAAAGATCAATAGCATAGCATGCACGGATCAACTATAACATCATCGGAAAAATTACAAACAAGTTGACAATCTGCCCAGATTCACAAAGTAGCAAAAGTAGAGCTCGATTGACTCAAGCTATGGTGCTCCATAATTGCAACAAAAGACATGGATGGATAGAGCACTACAAGATTAACAAAACATCCTTACTGATCTTTCTCAAAAGAGGCACGGATCACTAGGAAACAACATGAACATATGACCATATGAGATAAACAGCTCAAGGACTTAGTGGAAATGCTAAGTCCCTGAAATCAGAATTACCAAGTGCACCACTTTGCAAGCTTGTGCTAGTCACCACACACATCACAAAATTACATGGGTTGCACCTCTAGAAAGATGACAAAACCCTTAACAAAATATATATAGAACTCATGGGCATATCATGCACACATTAATCATGGCAAAAATGACAAAAAGCTAAATGGAGCAACAGATCTGACAATTATCTCAAGTAGCTCTCTTCTAACAGAATTTCGGGTATTAAGATGAACTCAAATGAAAATGATGCAATGTAATGAAATGATGTACTCTCTAAGATGAACATTTTGATATGTTATATGCCCAAATCGGAGCTACGAACGCAAAGATACGATGCCATGAACAGAAGCACATGGATCTGAAATCTCAGGACAGAGAAAAAAATCGAGGTTAACCCTAGGGTTAGCTCGGATCTGGATCTGGCGCACGCCGACCGAGGCAAGTCCGGCGAGCTCGTCGGGGAGGTAGGCCGGCGGCTTGCCGGCGAGGAGAGGAGGCCGGGCGGTGGGGTGGCGGACCCGGCCGCGGGGCGGCGAGGCGACGAGGGAAGGCGGCGGGGCGCTGCTCCAGGCGGCGAGGCGCGGCTCCGGCCGGCCGGCGTCGAG